GAACCGAACCGTGGATTTTGTGAACCGTTCCACCCCTAATATACATATACACACACACACACACATCTACATACATACATATACACACATACATGCATACATATATATAAATTGTGTGCAGAATTATTAGGAAAATGAGTATTTCGACCACATCATCCTTTTCATACATGTTGTCCTACTCCAAGCTGTATAGGCTTAAAAGCCAACTACCAGGTGGTGTGCGTCTCTGTAATGACAAGGGATGTGGCCTAATGACATCAACACCCTATATAAGGTGTGCTTAATTATTAGGCAACTTCCTATCCTTTGGCAAAATGGGTCAGAAAAGAGATTTGACAGACTCTGAAAAGTCAAATTTGGAAAAAAGCTGCAAGGAAGCCATTAGCCACCAGTTGTGCCATATTTCAGAGCTGCAACATGTCTGGAGTGCCGAGAACCACAAGGTGCTCAATACTCAGGGACCTGGCCAAGGTAAGGAAAGCCGAAAAAAGGCCACCTTTGAACAAGACACACAAGACAAAAGACAAGCAAGCGGCGCCTCTCCCCCATTGACAGCTGGAGATAGACAAGCAAGGTGGTACTGGCATGGGCTGGTATCACCAAAGATGAGCTTGTGGGACCTTTTCGGGTTGATGATGAAGTCAAAAATAACTCCCAGAACTACTGCCAGTTTCTCTGGAAGACGCCTTCTTCAAACAGTGGTACAAGAAGAAGTCGCCATCATTCAAGAAAAACATGATATTCATGTAGGACAATGCTCCGTCACACACATCAAAATACACCACAGCGTGGCTGGCCAGAGAAAGTCTGAACCTCATGGAGAACCTTTGGTCCTTCATGAAGTGTGAGATCTACAGGGAGGGAAAACAGTCCAACTCTCTGAACAGTGTCTGGGAGGCTGTGGTGGCTGCTGCACGCAATGTGGGTCGCAAACACATCAAGGCACTGACAGAATCTATGGATGGAAGGCGTTTGAGTGTCATGGTGAAGAAAGGCGGATATATTGGTCACTGATCTGTTTTTTGTTTTTGAATGTCGCAAATGTTTATTTCTGAATTTTGAGTCGCTATATTGGTTTACCCGGTGAAATAAACAAGTGAGATAAGTATATATTTGTTTTTTATTATATTGCCTAATAATTCTGCACAGTACTATTCACCTGCATATACATACATCCTCATAAAATGGCCAAATCTAGAAAAAAAAAAAAAACTTACAAAATTATGAAACTTTGATATCAAGGAGTCTTTTGGGTTGATTGAGAACACAATTGTGGCCCAATGATAAAAATAATTATCAAAAATACAACTTCCCTAATACTTGCACACAGTGTACTATATATATATATACTTATCTCATATATGTATATATATGTATGTGTATATATAGAGACAGAAAATGTTGGAAGGAGGTTTTGTAGGTCTAGTTTAGATTATATAACCTTCCATAGAACTTTTGCCTAAACAACTGCTGTGTGTCACCTTTAATAACTGAGTCACGTGACCCGTGAACTTTCCCCCAATTCCACACCGAGGCTGTTATATCATGCATACTTTACAGCTCCTTCAGTCAGTACAAACAGTAACAACCCACAATGCTGATTTATGCAGATATTAAACCAGATAAATATTAAAACTAACATGTTTATTTAAAAAAACCAACATGTTTATCATACCTGAGCAGCTTGACTGGCGTAGAGCCGACCGTTTGGTACAGCGAGTACCACCGCGGCTTGACGCTGGCTTCTTAACGCAAAAAGAAAGAAATATAACACCATGTTTTAGTTTTTAGAGGCATTACAGGCGGAGATCAGAAGCTTAAACGTTGCCAGCAGCGTTTCCTCACCCTGACAGCACTGCAGGATTCCTGAGAATGGATCCGCAAACGGCGGAAGACTGGCTGACCTTACGAAGCAGCATGGTTTATTTTGTTCTGGAAATGATATTTTAATCGAGTAAGACAAAAAGCAAAAGCAAACACTAAATATTAGCTGACATAAAAGAGGTAACAAGGTGCCAACACACAGCTAACAGCGACTGTTTCGTAACTATTACAGGGTGGACTGTAAATACCTCCGTTTAGAATATAGTAAATACGTTTAAACATTCAAGTTTCTTATAAAGGATTATGACAGAGGGACTCTAAATGGAAGAAATTAACTTAATAATTATAAAACTTTATCCTCTGACCGAGTAAAAAGGACCGAATCGCCACTGGATCTGATTTTTCGCCGCTGCTGGTGCTGCCGCTGTTATTCTGGCTTCTTCTGAGGGCTAAAGCGAAAGCTTACATTGGTGTCATTGCACCAGCGCCCCCTAGTGGTCAGTCGGATAAAGGTTCCGGGACAGAATACATATTCAGAGCAACTTTTAAATCATCAATGAGTTATTTTCTCACTTCCAGGGAGCAGTAACCTTCCACTTTATTATAATGATTAAACTATTTTGTTCACAAACTATAATAACTTCACTTGGAAATTTTCTTAAATTATCTTGAAATATATATATATATATATATATATATATAATCAAGTAAATTGACCCAAAACAAAAGCCCCAGATTAAGATCTGATCAATGTGGTCTGATTATCACTTAATAAAATACTTTCTGCTGGTTCTCTATTAAAAAAAACAAAAAAAAACAACTTAAAATTGAAATGTGAAATTGTTCTTCTATTTTGAAAAGCCAAACCAACAGTTGCCACTCTGTTTAATTTAACAAACCTGCAAGAAAATATAAACACAAAAAATCTAAACAGTCAGGCAGTCAGCTAGTATCAAATTTATTCTGAAAGGCACAAACAAATGGTGGTGTTATGTAATCAAACAGCGGCCGAAGCGTTCATGTCTTTCTTTTTGTAATGTCCACTCTTCATTTAGCACCTTGATATTTGGATTACACATGATTTATAAAGTCACGCATACAAAACAAAAAAACAAAAAATCAGGTGAATAATGTGAGTCAGAAAGATAAAAACGAAGGATGAGGAGCTTGGATCACATTAAAGATATACACTGAATGTAATTAAACAGGTACCGCCATTGGCCATTAGCATGTGGTATCACATTCAGAACATCATGGTACCTCTAAGGGGATCAAGAGTAATCAGATGTATTCTCTCGAGTCCCACTGACATGTTTGGACCTTTTCCTTTCACATTAGTGCGTAACGCTTTACATAGGAGCTGTAGGTATCTATATACAGAGACTTTCATTGTCAAACATTTTATGTACCTGGAGTGTTCCATAATGTCTCAAAAAAGTAAGGCACTCATCAATCTGGTGCTACAATGACAGCATACCCCCCCCTTTCCTCCAGCATAAGGTGTACCTGGCGCCCTCTAGTGTCCTGCTGTACTCTGTAGGTCTGTTTCCTGGCTCTGAAGCTACTTGAAGGAGGAGGAAGCAGAACATCAGAGTCTTTCTGAACCATTCAGGCAGCTGTGTGCCTGATATGTACTTGGGGGGATTAAACTCACTGCCACACCTAATCTGATCTCAGCTAGATTTTTAAAATTCTTGCCATTTTCAACCCTGTTTTTACCTAATTTGAAACAAACGCCCTTACTCTGATGGGCATGTGTGAGCTCACTGAGCAGATAATCGTCACATCAAAGGAACCGTACACATGAACTATCACTCAACACAAAAGGAGAGAAGAAGAAAAGTTAAAGAACTACATGACGTCCACAAAGAACTCGCTGGGATTCCCCATGGCCAGGTGGAACGACTGACGGGAAGCGGTCAACTCTGGAGGCACTGAGCCCAGGTCGCGGGTAGGAGGGGCCCCGGGAGGTCCCCCTGGGGTGGAGGAAGGAGGAGGGGGGAGCGCCTGGTGCATGGGGGCAGCCGATAGCTGCTGCGGGTGCTGGAGAGCGTGGGCGGCCATGGCCGGGTGTGGGTGCTGGGGAACCATCATCAGCATCATGGGGTTGTAGGGCAGGATGCCCGGCGGGTAAGGGGACATGTGGGGAGGCTGCGGCATCCGGTGGTGGTGGGAGCGCTGTGACGAGGCGTGGCTGTGCTCGCTCTGGGCCGAGGAGCCGTGGCCCCGCCTCAGGCTGCCGCGGGTGGAATACTCGGATTCGCTGCCGCTGCCGGAGCGGGACTCACCGCCGCCGCCGCCTTCACCAGAGGGGGATTTCTCCCCACCGCCTGCAGTGCTGCCAGGGCCTTTGTTGCTGCGTCGACGCTCGCCCTCGCTTCTGGTCGAGCCGCTGCTTCGGCTCCCTGAAAGAAGGAAAAATCATCAATAAAAAAATAATAAAAAAGGTCAAAATAGCCAGAAGTGGTGCATACCCAATTAAAGCAAACAGAAAAATGACTTTTTTGATGCTTTTACTAAAAAACAAGGAATCAGTGAAAATTATTTGGTTGGTTAAAAAAATAAGATTTAGATAAATGTATTCAAATTTAAAATGGGACTTTTAAATGTTGCTACTTTATTTAAAGCTGAATTTATTTTGGAAACAATCCTGGCTGCTAATAAGGGTGTGCTGCATGTTATGATAAAAACATGTTTAGGTTCTGTACGAAACATTCAGTGCATGTTTACACCTGGATGTGAAATCTGGCTCCAACACAGAAGCAGCAGAACACGACTTTAGAGCTAAAAATCCGATTTAGTTAGAAACTGGCTGTTTATCTTTTGACATTGAGGTCAATTCACCACTGTTCAAAACAGGAAAGACAACAGAATATTTTCTAGAAAGATTTTTTAACCACTAATATAAGTGATTAAACGTTATTTTGACAAACTGAACGCAAACTTCCGAATCAACCGGCTCGTAATGCTTGTTTGCATGTTTTATTATTGTCTGAAGTTCTAGACATCAATAAATATTAAAGTGAAGCTAGATTGTGATTTGGCAGCAAGATCACCTGGGGTTCGTTTCATGAAGCAGGTTTAACTAGTTAAGATTAAAATCTGCAACTCTAAATTGATCT